AAGGGTAGACCAGCCAGTACCAAATACTTAGAAATAGCCATAAAGATTGCCAGTGAAGAAAACTAGAAGACAAAAGAGAAACTGAGAATTCTGGAAAGACAAGAACAAGCAAAAGATGACAAATAGGGAATGGTCATGATAAACACTGAGGCTGTCCCAATGTATTGCATCTCCTCTGTCCACTCTTCAGGAAGATTGACAAAGAGAACATTCCTTATAATTTTGGTAACATTTATACAATATGGAGAGTAATGTCCACTCAGCCACTTTTCATTGCTATGCTCCACACTTTGAAAATGGTGCAAAGACTATAACAGACAACATAAGTGTAAAGGCCAAGCACTGTGTGCCAAAGCTGACAGAGTACAGTCAAGCCAAGGAGCACACACTAAAATGCACCTAAGAATATCGGCTGTACATATTGAAACTTGAATCAAAATAAAACATATGTATTATGGATAAGGGCTAGTGAAGCATTAATGCAGACGTGGCCAGGGATCACATGCAGTTCTCAAGGCATAGCAGAACTCTTGGACCTGGTACAAGCTGCATCTGTCCTGCTACATAAAAGTGCAATTGTGCTGTTTTAGGTAACTCATGGTAGATCATGGTAGAAGTGTATTTTAAAGATATTTATGTACTATATTCAAATTTATATTATGCCACATTTATACAGTGAATGAAAATAGAGTAACTCTAAAAGCCAAACTGAACACAACTTGTTATTAAATACTTCCTGTATGCTAACTGTGCCCTAAACCCAGAAATGTTCAGGATTCATTGCTACAACAAAACCTCTTTAATTTATGAGACCAGCTATCTGAACAGCTCATACTATAAGTCATGGCAACAGAATAATGCCAAATAAAATATCTCAAATTTGTTTAACATGTGGTTAGGTATTTTAGAACTTCAAGGCTATAAAGTAATTCAGAAGTGACAAGAAAGCCACAAATCCCTTATAACTATCAATATTTTGTTTGGTATCTTCAAAGACAGCTGATGTTTGCCAAGATTTCACCTATGACCAATAAAGGTGAAAACATCCAACACCTCTCTCTATATATTTGGGAAAGTTGTATGTAAAATTTAAAATTGCGAGACAAAATAAAAGGGTTTCAGCTATTGCTATTTTTCAAGGTTTTTCCACAGAAACAAATTCTGTTTATTAACATAGTTTCTCTCCTATTTGCCAAAGACAGGAAATTCAAGGACACAGTAAAAGATACCAAGTAGCGGCACAACGTTCATCAGGAAAAATTTCACAAAAACACAGCCTAAAAATTGTCCTTGGTAGTAAGAATAAATACTCCAGTCTGTCTCATGAAAGCTCGGGAGCAGCTCTAAGAACTATATGTAATGACTAAATAAACAGTCACTGCAAAGTCTGGAATAAGTAACCTTTACTAAATAGGACTCTTGCTGTTGTCTGCCTGTTGCTTTGAGAGCAATAAATAGCTGCTTACTCTCAGTTAAGGAAGAAGATGCTTTATAGCTGCTTTGAGAAACTATAGATGGTCATAGATAGTCTCATTCACACTCAGACTACAGGCTCTTTCAGGAAGCAGTATCAGAAGCCATATTTAAAGTACTGGCATTTCCCCTAATTTTCAGCTATTTCATAGCTGAAAATTCATACCTATCCACTGCCTTTCCCAAGGACCCAAAGAAACCTGTTTGCTTATATATGAAATGGAAGCACATTCCAGTTAGCATCCAAAATAAATCAACAACCAACGTAAACAAATATTTAGACAAAACCATATTTCATGTAATCATTTATGCTGTGAAATATAAGCTCCAGGGCCATATAAGCTCCAGGGAACACACATGAATGAAGGGGATTATAAAGTAGTTTACTTCAGAAGCTGAACACTTCTAAAGAATGTTGGTATCTAACACTTGTCTTCAAATTCTCCTTGGTTTCATTAAGAAAACCAGCCCCTAACATTCACCAAGATAATTTAATTCTAATTTACTGAATTTCAAATATTAATCATCAAAGTTCATATCTTGAAAACAATCTTGGTAAAGGGACTCTCACCAGGCAGCTCTTAACTAAAAAGAATACACAAAAGAGACTACATTTACAGACTCTGAAATAAAGAGAGAGGTCTTAAGCTAACAGGGATTTTGTGTGTGTACATGTGTTATGAAAACAAAAGAGGCAAAAGAGGAAAACCACATTCAGGCAACCAGGCAAAACCAAATCCAGTCTCTAAAAGAAAGACTACAGGTCAAGCCTTGCACATCAAATCACAGTTGAACAGAGATACTCACTTACATAGTCATTATTTTGATGGACCAAATTATGTTCTAGGGTATATGCCAACTCAACTCATTTAAATATCTAGGAAACAACATGAGCATTCAAAGGGATGTTAGTCATATATTTTGAAATACCCAGGTTCAGAGTATTTGAATTGTCAGTTATTTACACTGAATTTCCATGATTCACTCATTCACCAACAAGAAGTACAACAGAACAGAACTCAAAACAGCATTTTGTATCTCCCCACAAAAACATTTATCTATTTCTTCCAAATGCAAAACATGAGTACACACTGATACATGTATCAAGCAATCATAACCCCCTACCTTCTTATTACAGACTGAATTGTTAAAGTACCTGAACAGCAAAAAAATCCTGTTTTTTAACTATTTGCTTTACCAAAAGAGGATGAAAACTCTAAAATCTTCAATGGGAAGGTACCTGCACATATAGCATGAAAGCATACTGATGTAATACGGTTGCTTTTAAAGTACTTGAACAGGATTTATCACATGCTGCAGTATGTAGTAATATATTTAAGGAATTTACAGTAATATATTTAAGGAATTAGCCAAGCCATTTCTAAATGGTTAGCGATCATCCCTGAGAAATAAGGATGATTGGTGTGGTCCTAAAAGACTTCAGAATGGCAGATACAGTGCTCAAACTTAAAAATAGTATTTCAAAAAGAAAAGGCCAGTTGGCCTTTTCTCAGTCACACATAAACACAGTGGAACCAATTAGTAAAGAGTACACCTGGAAGTACTCAGAAGTACATTAGCAATCAAAAAACAAAACCTGTAAGTATTACTGATTGCCAAAGAGAAATCACAGCAAATCAATCGATTTTCCAGCTTAAAGATACAGCTGACCTGATGTCTAGAATCAAAGCAGTATGTTCCAATACTTCAACCCAGTTAAATCTTTCAACACTGCCTTCAATTAGAGTTTCATAAGCTTGGAGAAAATGTGGCACACATTAAATTATTAAAGATGAGTACAGCACTGCTGGGAAAATACTTTATACCCTAAAAATGGTACTCGCATAGTCTTCAAAATTTTTTTGCCAAATTGGTAGAGCCATATGAAGCATGTGTCAGGGCCCTGGGTGTACCACCGGGCTCTGCAAGCTCTTCCCCCCAGCTAGGGTTTTACTTGCCTGTGTTGAAGGTCAGCTGGGACATGGTGTTGCTGCCTCACTGGGGTCCCCATTGCCCCCCATGGCTTGGGAGCTGCATTTACACTCAGGTCCTTTCTTTGGTCCCTTCCCAACCTACACTGTGGCCCTGTACCTTGCTGATCCCAGCCTGGACCTGCTGGCCTGACTTCCCAGCTTGACCTCAGACTTGCCTCATCACCACAGATTTGTCTGGCAGCCACTGGGCACCTGGCTGACCGTGGCTACTGCCCCCAGACCCACTCTTCTTGCTTGGACACTGCGGGACTGCGAACCTTGTCATTAAGGACACTGTCCCTGCCTCCATTCTCCTCTGGAGCAGCCCACTCTTGCTATTCCCTGAAAGCAGGTCCTGCAGGCAATCTGTACTATATAACATTTTCAATACCAACTTGGAAGCTGGCATAGACAGCACTGTTTATGAAATAGAATAAATAGATCTTATTTCATTTATGAAATAGATTAATTTCTATTTATGGATAGACAAAACCTTTTGGGAGAAGCTGGCATCATCCAGCAAAATCTACAGAGGTTTCAAGTACAGCATTCAAGCTGTTAACAAGGACTCTAAATAGATGAGACTGTATATAAAACTGTACACTGTTATTTTAATATATGCACATTAATAACAATTAGCATTTTATATTCCTTGCCATGTAGGTTAGAACATTAGTGGTTTGTGTTAGACTTTTTCCAAAGGCTATTGCAAAACATAAAGAGAAACATCTGCTAGAAAATTATTGTATCCTTGCTAAGGGAAAGCTAAACTAAAGGGAGATTACTTTATGAGGGAAAAACCAGCCTGGCAGCTTGGGAAGTATCACTTCCCTGAACACTTCAAACATAGAGAAATAATAACAAAAGCTCTCTTTTTTTTCAGAGTTAACTGGCAAAGTGTATAATTCTGTTCAAGTCAGCTAACAGTTCCAGTAATAGTTTAAGATGGTTCTGAAGAACAAGGACTTTCAAACATACCCAACTGGAGAACATCCGCCCATACTTCATCTTGGGCAGCCTATAAACTGTTAGAAGGTGTCATGAAACAGCAACAACCAACTAAAAGAACACAACAGCCCCCTTGATCTCACCAATAAAGTCTCCATCAACAAAGATACTACCCAGAGAATAAAGTGAATCTGTATCTCTTTTAGAGAAAACTGGTATTTTGCTATCAATAAATAAGATTTAGATAATACTTATGTGTACACCTCTTATCTACCATTGTAGATTTTAAAGAAGAGGTTTGACAAATAGCCAAGAAGGATAACCAAAGCCATTAACTGAAGATTTTAATGGTAATGATGTTACATATAAATATTAATGTTTTGACTTTTTACTCTGACAGCAATGAAAAAAAACATTTAAGGCATTTACATTTTCCACAGATATGTGCCCATAAAAGCCATGGACACTAGTATACAAAGAATCAAAAAATGGGTCAAATACCTCAGCAGTACAAACGAATGTAATTTCAATGAAGCAAACCAGAGATTTAATTTCATTATTAAATGATGAGTTTGTTCCGTGCATTGTAGGAGATGTTTAACTCACCTGATTGCCAACTAAAAGAAGATGTTCTCCCAGCAGAAAGTCTTTTAGCATATCTTCCATTACCATCATGTGCTAGAGAAACAAAAAAAGAATTTTCACCCCTGTTTTTATACTCTCAAGTTTATGCATTCACTAACGATAGTAGTACAACAGGAACTTTACTTTCAGGATTTGGGGCCCAAATTTTTTGAACTCTATACTTACAGCTATTTATGTCATAGCAAGAGTCTCTCAGCCAGTAATAACAGAGGCAATCTATCCAGTGACTAAAACAATGAAACAAAAATACTAACTCTCCTTATGAATTTCCTCTGCTCTAACTAATTGTGGGTGTCTGATTTCCCTAAATATATTTAATTGTCCATAATCACTCCTAATGCATTTCCTTTTAGCCTAGTTGAATGCTTGTCACCCAGAGTGTAAGAACTTCCATTAATATGTGTATGACAATTTTCCAGCAATTGTACTGGGAAGAAGGAATGAAACAGAGAATAAAAGGCAGCTGACATGAATATGTAAATTATGCACATTTATTTTATTAAAGATTAAACACCAGGTCTAGCTTAATGACAAATACACTTTTCTATTCTAATCAAAGTTTATTTTCAAGGAAAACAAAGATAGGAAAACGCAAGCTCAAGTACAAAAGTGTTTATTATGTGTCTTACAACTTCTAAATTAGACTGCCTAACTGAAGCCAAAGTGCTTGAGGTGTATTTTACATACATCCAATATCATAAAAGGTAACACACACTGCACATCATTTAACCTTATCTTGCTCCTCACGAATAATTTGTTTAAAAGGATCGAAAGGATTTAAGGATAATGTGTCAATGCAGACTACTTTACTTGCAATAAGGTAATGTATATTTCTGCACTGTATCTAGTAAAAATAGGTCATCTGTAAGTAGGTCAGACAACCTACTTAGAGAAATGAATGCTTGCCTTTAGAAAAACATATATTTTTTCACATCATCATCTCATCTTCAGTACCTGATTTTAAACAAAAAAACCCAAAAAACAAAACAAAACAAAAATCAGTAGCTTGCCTGTAATTTCTGAGCATAGAAATGCTCCATTTCTAAATGTGTTAAAGATGTTTTAGGTTTCCAAATCTCTCCAGAACAGAGGCTGGGGGTGGGGAAAGAAACTCTTGTAAACACAGCTTAATACCACAAAATCCTAACCAGGCATGTCAAAAGACTACTGAATACTCAATACACAATTTAAGGAGAGGACTTCTGGGTAAATTATTATATTTTCTGGCATGCATATACACTGGAAATTTATAACTGATGAGAATAACTTTGACCAGATACAGCATAAATTCTAGGAAGTCAGTTTTACCACACACACTGGTTATATTTTTTATTTTATTGCTAAGGCATGAGTACTTCCTTCTGATGACTTCTTTTTTTATCCTAAATTGCACAAATATGTGTACATTATAGTTCCCCTGCAGAACAGCTTTCCCTCAAGAGATGCTATGTATTGATACTTTTTCTTTTTTTTTTTTTTTCCTTTCTTTTTCCACCAGGATGTGAATTAGCATTGTATTAGGATGCATGCAGACATTTCAGATTAACTATTTACACAAAGGACTTGTTAGTAGATACATCAACATTGTGTCAAATTTATCAATCCACGTTCCCCAAAGCCTGGCCTGAAAGTGCCATTTGGCCTACCACCTAAAAATTATTTCCATCCCTGTGCCACTTGTGGACCAACAGCAATGTTCCACAGCAATGCCAAATTCCACTGGAACACGAAATGTTTCAAGACCAAACACACAGAGGCAAAAACTATGTATTTCATTACGTTGTGCAGCACTGCAAAGGGCTGAGGATATTTTTTTTTCTCTGTTTCAGTTTCTCTAGTTTCAGATAATAAAGAGGAAATAGTGCATTAGACTCATAAATCAAATTTGTTCTCCAGGAGGTTTTGCTAAATGATCATTACAGCACTTGAATGACCGAACTACAAACTAGCAATACAGAAAATAAGGGTAGAATTCATTTAGAAATGGGAACAGCTATCCTATAAAACAGATGCATAGTATCTGAACACAGGTTGTGTACAGTTTTCTGAACCTATAAGCAAGAAGGTGGAAAAAGCAATACAGATTTAAGTCCTAGCAAGACTCAGGATTTCATTTCCAACAGACCCAAATTAAGTACTTTACTCAAATGGCAACACAGAACAAAATCTCACATGAAATGTTATTAGGGAAGATGAAGACGACTGTCACCTGTTCCCCTTGCACAGCCTGTCATCACCTTCAGTAGGTGATACACAGGTAGCATAGACTTCCTGTGGAGAAATTGCAAGTGGAAGAAAAAAGAATAGGAAAGGAAAAGTAAGCAAACCCACACCAGGCCCCTAAAGAAAAATGTTTCACAAGATCACACTATCAGTGTTGCCTTTCAGAGGCAAAATATTCTAAAGGTAGATCAGAGGGTAATTCTCTTGCTAAGGATATCCTTGTCTGACAGTTTTGAGGCTTCCACACTAGATGGAGAAGAAAGCTGCAGTACACCTACCTCTACAAAACGGGGGGAAGGGAAACAAAAACCAAAAAAACCACAGTCACCAAGCCCTTCCCTTTTATTGTGTTCACTAATTACTCACTTTCATTGTGTTCAGTAATTACTATTACTCTTCACTACTATGAACTAATTAACACTAATAACAGTAATGACTAATTAATAAACTAAACTAATTAAAATAATTAATAACCAATTAGCTAATAACTGATTACTCTTCGCCTTGCTTTTCAAATATGCAGTGTAATTCTAATAAAAGGCAAGTACAACTTCATGCGACAAGCCTGTAAAACATGGTCTCAGGATGGAATCAATAATCCAGCCTGAAGACTGGATCAGTCCAGCAGCAATAATAAAAAATTAAAAAAAAAAAAAAAAAAAAAATCACTCAACACAACATCTGATCAAATCATTCTAAATAAAATCCAGTTTCAGTCGCTGTTACTTCATATTTTATGAATATTCAAAAGGATTGTTACAATCTCTTCACAAAGGGATGGTGAAGACATCTGAAATGAGCATCAAATCTTAAAGAAACTACTTCAGAAATACCCCTAAAATTTAGTTAGTACATTATTTAATATATATGAACACACACATTAATACACATTTAACAAACTTTTTGTACCTCAGAAGCCAGAGATTCGTACTTACTTGCGTATTTTCATAAAACAAAACATCAGGCACTTTCACTTTCTCGGTTGAGTTATAAATTGGCATCGTCACAGACCCTATCTTCAGAATCCCATTGTTTATTTCACCTAGACATTTTTCAGGAAACAAGCAAATGCATTACTTACTGCATCCTCTGAACAGACAGGCAGTCTATCCCCAACACTTGCAAGTGACAATTTTCAAATTTTAACAAGGCTGTGGGTTGCAGTAAATGATTTCTATCTAAAGACAGAGAATGCTTGAAAGAGGATCCATTAACAGGAGGTTGCATTATCATGAATTTGAATTATCTTTAAAATTGCAAATAAGTCAATTAGAATAAATCATGAATAGGGGATCTTAAGGGAAAAGTTCCATAAGAAACACAAGAAGTTGTGACTGCTGCTTTGGTTTAATTTCATACTCTCATTTTATTACTGGAATATCACCAATATTGTTAGGCTGCGTTTCATCAACCCACAAGTTTTTTCACTCTTATTCTCCCTGTTCTCTCTCCCTGTCCCACTGGGGAGTGGTGTGCAGAGGGGGGTGAGCGAGCGGCTGTGGGGCTGCTTGGCTGAGAGCAGAGGCCAACCCACTGCAACAGTATAGACTCACTGTTGATTCCCCCTTTCAGCATTGCATTTTTGCTCAAATGGGTTAATGCCAGAATGTGGACACATTTAACATTTTGGTCAAAACTGGCTAAATTTGTACTCTTTGAAGCAACCTTCAACTACAGCTCTGAGAGAAAAAGTACGTTATAAAAATTTCTTAGATCAAAAGAACCATAAATTCTGTCCTTAGGAAAATAGAAACTAAGTGTAAACAATAATATTGTGCAATAAAAACAGTAATAATTTTTTGCCACTAACTTCTTAATCTGGTATGGTGTAAAACTGAAAATAACCTAATTTCTAGATAGATGTTTTTAGTTGTTCACCTATTGTTCTATATGGTTCTATCTTTATGGCATGAAACAGAGAAACATAAAGAAAATTCAAGGGATGTGTCCAGATAAAAAATAAAAAGAATGCTAAGCAGGTAGCATCACACAACTGGCAAGAGTTCAAATTATTTTATATATATAGGTTTTTATATGTACAAAAAATACAAACACAGATATAATAATACACGGATGGCTGCATATGTATATGTGTATATATATGTGTATACACATATATATGGCTGCACATATATATTATACTGTATATAATAGATACATTAATATATCTGTATTTACATATATATTCATATATACACACAATTAACATCTATAAAGACAGGATACATGTTAATTAAAACCAAAGATGTGTCTAATACTGCAAAGATCTAACAGTAAAAACACCAAAGTCAAATATATCACAAAACTGAGAATAAACATACAGAAGAATGACAGCAGAGACGACACTGGTGAAGTAAAGGAAAAGTTTAGTGAATGGAAAATGACAAATTGCTCAGAGGGTGCTGCCTGACAGAAGATATGAAAAGATATACAGCTAGCATGAAGACCAAGGGTCACGCGGGAATGAGAAAGCAGAAGTTAGAAAAATGGCAGAAGCCGAAATATATGTGTAGCACCGAAAGCTACTGCAAATGAGTACAAGCTGGATGAGGTAAAGAGACAAAGACCTGCTCAATAAAGCCCACATCTAACAACACAGCAATTCAAAGAGAACAGAAAGAAGGGAAACTAACAAAGTTGTGTGTGCCAGAATGAAAGCAAAACATAATCCAAGACTTTTACAAGAGTCTCAATGAGAAAAAGGTTGATTTTAACAGTGGAGAGAAAGAAGCGATGGTAAAAAAAGAGAACAGAGAAATACGAAGATCAAACCAAGGCGCTGTAACTGTACGGAAGAGTAGTTATCAGTGATGAGGGGGAAAAAAAAAAAAAGGGCAGTCCAAGAAAGCTTGAGGTCATGGATCTTATAGACTGGGAAACACTTAAACACGATGGAGGACAAAATTCCATGAGCTGGGAATACAGCAGAAAATACAAAAGTATCAACATACTGAGGGCAGTACTGCATTCTGACAGAACAAAGTCAAAGGTATATAACTGGAGCAAACCACATTTAATTTTGAGGATAATTAATACATCTTTATATGCTCAACTGTCTGAGTAACAGTCATGAAGAACAGGACAAAAGATGGCAGAAGCTTACATGTGTAATCCTTTTCCTCTAATTTCTTCATGTCATTTGAACTTGTCTCAATACGAGAATCCTGAAGATTTTTATGTAAAGCTGATCTGGCAAGGTTTGGTAAAAACCTGAATGAAGAAAAATAACAGGGAGATTGTATTTCAAGGAATTTTTATTTTAAAGTTTTCAGTATTTTCTGTAATCTAAAATCAGTATGAAGCTTTACTTGGACCTCCAAACTCTGAATGTCTACTCCTTTCACACTCAAATAGTCTTCAACATTTCACCTATCCCTAAGGAGAGAAACTGAGTTTCTTCCACAGGCAATGAACTACATTTGTGGCTGTATGCTCATTTTAAAAGGCTTCAGTGCTATCGAATATTGCAACAGGGTTGTAACGTAGGATGCATTAGGACTGGAAGTATGTAATGTCCTCATTCCACTGCCAGTAAGAGCTACAATAGAAACAATGTTTTTTCGGAAATACCTTTTCTCTTGACTCAGTTCACTTGGACCCCAGGACCAAAGAGAAAGAGTGAGCTCTGAGGTATCCAAACTAGGCCCTTTCAGTTTTCCAAACCATTTGGTAATTATAATTTGCTTTCTTTTGGAAAAAACAAACAAACAAAAAACCTAGATGTTGGTAACTTTTCTAGATACAGCTTTTAGAACTGAAACCAAGCCTCCACCAAACATCTAGTCATACTAGACATTACTATAACTCTGTTTTGTTTTGAGACAGTGAAGTAATACTGATAATGGTGACCTAATTTATATAATGTAATGAAATATCTTCAAAAAGATGAGAAAAGAGTACAAAGTCATTTCTACTTACCTCCTAGGTTTGAGAATACCACAGAAATACTTCTAAAGAAATGACAGACTTTAAGGAGCAGGACAGCAACTGTATTGTCTACTAAAATGCATTAAAAGCTATCTTGCATGTTAGCAACTGACCAAGAAGCTCTTGAACTTCTACCAAAACTAGCACTTCTACCTGGAAAGGCAGGCTTTATTAACAGCATAGTAAAGGCTTTCATCTGGATGTTGTGACAGTCGACGACAAATTCGCAATAGTTGTCGAGTAGATAAAGATGAAGCCAGTGACTGTGCCTGTCAAAAAATACACAGCAGTTTAATTATTTAATCTCTGGGACTGGATCTCAGGGATTTAAATCAAACAAGTCAGGAGAAAAAAGTAATCCAAAAGGAATTATTTCAACCTTTCTCCTAATTCATAGGTGCATTCTGCCTCCTACAGCAGCTTGTGCTTTTTAATCTGCAGGCTTGTAATTCCATATTTGTTGCAGTAATTCACTGCCATGGAAATCATGATGTCATCAAAAGATTAGCCTTACGATTTCACTAGATAAGCAGCAGGAAGAAGAATGTGCTGATAACTGAATTTTATTCACTGTATAAAACCTAACACTAAACAATATTAACAATAACAAGGAGGTTAGCCACTGTAAAAGGACCAATGTCACAAAAACTCATCTGCTCTTGACAAACTGAATACGAGCTCCACATGTAATGCTCTGGCAAAAGGGTCTGGCAGGATTCTTGGATGTATAAACAAGACAACACTGGGCAGCAGTAAGGAGATTGTATCACCTCTGCACACGCCTTCTGGGCGGGCCGTTACTGGAACACTGTGTCCTTTTCTGTTGTCCACATGTTAAAATAAATGCTAAAAACTGGACATCATTCAGCAAAGAGTTACAAAAATGATTCAATGCCTGGCAAAACAGACCTCAAACAAATACAGCAAAATTTAAAAAACAAACAAACAAACAAAACCCCAAAACAAGTGACCATGTATTGAAAGAGAGATATAAAGACTGAGAAAGAAATCATTCCATAATTGTATCTACCGGATGAAGGTATCTAATACAAACAGGTTCCTTATTTTAGCAGGAAACATACAACAATGAGCATGATCTGATAAGTCACGCCACGGTTTGCCTGGGTCAAGTGAAACGTTTTAATTAGGTAAAATGTTTTGGTTTGGTTCACATAAATTATTTCTAACTGCATTACAATTATCTTAATACATTATGCTGTTTCAATTGGAAAAAAATAGAGAAAAGCAACACTTCATGAATTGCAGAGCCTTTTTTGCTCCCTTAATTTTTAAGCATGAAAAATGTCTAACACCAATTCTTTCCCCTGGAAAACTGCAGTTTTGACAAACAAAACTTTTCTCGAATGCTGAGAAAGCAAAGGATAATACTTTTTAGCATAGCTCTGAGCAATGAGCAAGAATGACTTTAGATTGGGCTAACTGCAAAGAGTACTACTCCTGCCCCTCCTGCTTTCATTGATGGAAGATTGTGAAGCATCTTCTGAACTATTGTAGTTTACGACCCAGCATTATCGACACTGTGATGTAAATGATAGCATTTCAAGTTATTTCAAAACCTACTCAGCCATGTGTGAAGCATGGGCAAGGGAGTGGCGTGAATGTTGTATCCTTGTTACCCCTGCTCACTAGCCAGAACCCTCACTGCCTTTGTATACTCTCCAAAAGTATCTTAAACAGCTGACAGGTTCCCAAGTAGAGAAAGTTTTGGCAGGTAATCAATCCTCCTAAGTCACAACCTATGGGACTGCACGGATGGAGAATGGCAGCTGGGCATAGTAACTGAAGTAGTGTATTTCATACATTATGCCACCTTGATTAAGTCCAATCTCTAAGGACATAGACATTTTACAGTCTAAATAATATATAGCATGCACTGAAATAAATAAGCATAGAGGACAGGCACACAGAGGAAAAGCTGTATCACATCTAAATATTTGCAACTGTCAGTTAAGAGTTTTGGGAACAAAATTTCCTCTTTTCTCTTACCTTTTTTGGGTTTTTTTTTCTTATTTTATATTGAACAACTGTAAATTCAAAATTGGGTTAGTGACAGTCTTTGTAATATATATCTATGAGGCATCTAATTTAACAGGATCTTGACTGTGGTCTCTAGATTCTATTGCAAATCAAGCAAACAACTGCAATGACGAAGACAACGCCCACAGGCCGAACAGTCTACAGGTATTCTTCTACTGTTAACAAAATCACTTCAAACAATGGTTAATATTTCAGGACAATCTCTGGCAGAGGCTTACTTACTTAGGCAACTCTATAAATAGCGTGACATACCTAAGGCACACATTTCAGCTCTCCGCACAGGTATGCTATTCCCAACATGTCTCATGTCACTGCTGATCTACAAGAATCCTCCCTCAATCCATACTGTGACTCACTTCTCATCCAACATCACATACTTCATTTAGATATTTCACAATGCTATAGGCATCCATGTATTTGGAAAGGATTTTTGTATTGCTCTGTTCAGGCATGGTATGTCTCCAAGTATGTCAAAACCAATACATTTATACACTAGGTGTAGGAAGCTAAACAGATAACACCACCACCACTGTCCAAAAGGTGTACCTAAAAGTCAACCGTTTTACTTACTTTTTTTAAGCTCAGAAGAGCATAACAGCCTCTCTCAGCTTCTTAAATAGTAATACTGTAAAAACTTAACCATGATAAAATTATGAAAACTAAGGAGAACAGATTACATTTGCATACCACTTAAACTGCTGGATTCCACTAAAAGTGTTTTACATTTTAGTTAAATTAAAAACATCCAGTGCTTTAGTTGCCATAGCACTAATTTCTTTTTCTTTTCACCATGATTTGACTGTATCTTTTTAAAGAATTTTGTGGTTACTATGTCAGCAGAACATCTTTTCCTTGACAAGACTGCTTTAATAGAATAGCCTGTAGCAGTAACATAGCCAGGAGTTCTGGAGCTTTCCTTTTTCTGAGCCTTTGCTGTTGCCTGTTGGCATTTTATAATGGCCCCAATAATTTCAGCTACCAAAGTTCCAATGACTGAAGTAATCAAAAAACATTTGGACACGCATGATTATATCCATACCTATTCAAAAGGTACCTCAAGCATGTTTCACTGTGAGCCATGTATCTAAACCCATCAACAACATGTGTACTGTTCTGCCTGACTTCTCTGGGATTCGGGCAATTTCCTAAAAGCTTTACTTATGCAGATTCTAAAAACGTACATCATAAATCAAAAAAGTTTACAGCATGTGTTGCAGTAATTGCCAGCAATAATTTTCTGGGGCTGGTTTTCCAATCAGGCAGCCTTTGAAATAACACTATAGCTTAGCATGCTTCACCCAGCCTCTGTTAAAAGAAACAGTCACAGTCAGAGAAAGTAAAGTTTAAAAAAAAAATAAAAGCTCACCGTGGCATCATTTGTCTCCCGAAGCTTGTGTGTTAATGACAACAACTGCTCCACAGCAACACTAGGTACATTTGGAATCTGCTTGAAAGAAAAACAGTATTAATCTTACTGCAAGATATGCAAGTTCCGTATACAGCTACACCCAGATGCAATGAGCATACAGTTGCTGCAGTTGCTTTATGTCAACCAACAAGGAATACAGTTTTGACAAAGAGCATTTTTCTATTACAGTATCATTTAATATCACAATAAGAATGCTAATTTATATCAATATCATTAAAGGATAAGCAGATATGCTGCTTTGATAAGCTTTGAAAATGAAGACTCATTTATGCTACACTGAAATAGCAAAATATTTTTTACATAGTAAAGAATCGTGTTCAGTAAGCAATAGTAAGTGTCTAAAACGTTGAACGTACTTACCATTTTTTTAATAACTTCAATTTCTTCACTCTTGCTTAAAGATCGAACATTATGAAAAAGAAACAGTGTCAGAAACTCTGGACCCAGCCATTGTTGGGTACTACTACCAATGACAGGAGGTTCTGCTAAGACCATTATTCTGAAAGAAGGATGGATAGGAAAGATAGACCTGCAAAAAAAGAGTTTAAAAATGCATTACCTGGCTTAAGCAGTGAATATAAAATTTAATTTTTACAGTGGATGAAAAAAAAGAATTATTATACTGAATCATATCACAGTCTATTCAGACCATTTGCAACGCAACTTTAAAAAAAAAAGACAAACACTGCATAATATGACTTACAATTTTCTAAATTTACAATTTTTTTTATGCTCAGAAGGGTACCCTAGTCTCCTCATCTGCAACAGGACCTGCATGCCTCCAGATTAACAAATACGAACGACTAAGCTACAGTCTATTGCATTGTATGTCTGGAATGGACACATCTCACTCATCTGACGGACTTTTACAAGTGCTTTACCTAAAGCAGGATGTCTCACAGGCAAATCAGGGACAGAACAAGATCTACCGGAGCTGCAGTAATGAGTAACTTCTTTTACTCAATTAGACTGACAGAAAGGATGACACTGTAGAAATTGGCCTAGCTACCAGGAAGAGATGGATTTAGTAACAGTTTAGGAACATTCCTCTTACTGATGCTCTTTGTGGCCCTTGGAAAAACACCTAGACTCTTGGGGTGGGATTAATATGCCTAACTTCATAATATTCCTGAAAGTTATACTTCAAAGACCAAATGAGTCAGCTCACCCTTGGCGCATTTTAGAGTCAGCATGGGGAGACAGGTGCCTCCAATGGCAGATTAAGACTTACAAGAACTTAAGAAATGCCCTACTGGGTCCTTCAATCTACCCGTCTCGCTACATGTTCTGTCTCTGATTATGACAGCTGGAGCTACTCCTTGGGGAAAGCACAAAAGCCTAGCCACTACCAGTAGTCTGTCCCCCTCATACTCTCCCAGCACTCACAATCATATCTTCAAAGACATTGGAGGGTAGATATCTACTTGCTTTAATGTCTGTTTACTCACAAATTTGTCTAATCCCTTTCTGAACTTCTTAAACCCATCTGCCTCCACAACTTCCTGTGGCAACACATGCACTGTTCAGGGTTGAAAAAGGTACTTTGATTATTATTATTTTTTAAATCTTTATGGCACTGCCCTGCTAGCTTCAGTCAGTGTCCCCTAGTTCACACTGCAGGATTTGGTGACTAACAGTCTCTTAAACACCTGCTTATTTGATTCCACCAAAGATAATGGGAGCTTACTGTGATCAACGCAAACTTAAAATACACAACTTCTAGATGCGTGTATTAGGGCAGTAGAAGACTGCTGCCTAATGGTTTTTGGTATCTTTGCCTTCTTCACATCTTTTGTCTCCCTTATCTATGTAATACTATCACCTCTTCAGACTGGGAATTCATTGCTACTCATCAATCAGCACAATTGCATGATCTCTAGAAGGGGCAGAAATAATAAAAAGTGACAAGTCAGATACAAAAGCCACTCAAATTGTGCAAGGAGGGCCTGTTTTCAACAATTGATTTCACAGTACTCTTATTAAAATAAGAGATGTTAAATCGGAAAAAGCAAGTGAAATTTAATTAGTTTATATTGCTAGATATGCCTGTTATCATGCCATTTTCCATAGAAATTACTACATTTGAAATCAGAACACTTGGAGGCAAGTATTCTTCCTGGTTAAACTGAGGGGGGAAACTACGGCATAAGCAAGAGAATCTGAAGACAGACTATGATCATTAAACACAAATTAACAAAACTACTGCATAGCTGGCTCATCTGTTCGTCACAACAAAAAACCTGTGATACAACAGAGCAATTATAGCAAACAGTCTCTTGTATCAAAGCAAACACAAGGGGTGGCATGAGTTACTCTCAGCTGAAAGTCATAAGCCTAGAAGCTACTCCCTGATTGATAAAAATAGAAATAAATGTCTGAAAACATCACATGAAAGAGAAACCAATGGGAATGTCACTGTCACTAAGCATAAAAGAAGGTCAGGGAATATTTGCCAACCTTATTACAGAAGAAAACATTTCCTAGACAGGATAAATACATATACTTCCAGACTCACCTCCCCCCTGCCATTACTAAGAAGAAAAACAACCCTCCTCCAGAAATCCACCAAATCCGAAGGAACAATTCTGGTCCTTCTGCAATACCATAAAAGAACAGAAGAAGCAGTCAGCTTCCCTAGTAAAGGGAACACATTTCTCTTGTACCGCCTCCACGTCACTGCCTAACTTGAAGGGCATGGTGGGGACACCCAGGGAGGGCACAGGGAAAAGTCAGAGGAGAGGAGATGCAAAGTCAGGGCAAGCTAACTTGGTGGTATCAGTTTAAGTCACTGACGTACTCTCCGGACTTGAACATATCACAATATCACTGCTGTAGGCTTCCAGTTTGTAAACATGAATAAAACTATTTGGCTACTTCAAAAGCCTATTGTTTGGACTAATGTTTGCAATATTGAAAATGTCAAGCTAAGTGTATTACTAAAACAAATGTCACAAATGACTCAATCCTGCAATGCTCTGGAAGTTCCCAGCTTCCATCAGCGCAACTGAAGAGCTTCAAAGTTGTTCCATCGTACTACAGATCAAATCTTTAAAGGAATACAATATGGAGCTCCTACATGGAGCTATATTTTGTAAAAAAAGAAACCCTTGACATCTTGTGTTCTTTGCACATGAAGGCCAAGTAAGTGTATCTTGTTAAAAATTTGACACCTTTTAAATTAATGAGCCTCAAACGCAGTGGGAAGATTTGGTGTTAGTTGATTAATGCAGAGACTCTCTATCCTTCTCTCTATTAAATGTTCCCTGACAACACAGGTAGCAGAGCACTCTCCTAATAATATGCATGTCCTTCTTTTGACATCTGTGTTTAATTCCAACCAAGGATTACCACCACAGCTCTCAAGAGGAAGATCAGAACACGGTCTGTTCTGGGTGATTTTAGGGAAATTTTTTTTTTGTGAGCACATGTTGAGCATCAAAAAAAAAAAAAAAAAAAAAAAAAAAAAAAGTAATTCCTAATGCCACCTAATGCCAAAATAGTTTGGTTGTCTTTTCCTGTAACATGATTTAATAAATCTCATTTTCTATCAAATTTTATGAGTTGGGAATTGTTATAACACTAGGACCACAATAACCTATTGTTGTTTTCTTGCTGTTTTTCTTAAATTTCACCACCGTCTAAAATTAACAGATTACTTTATCTACAAATTCACTAAACTGGAAAAAAAAAAAGAAAACACAACAAAAAATGAAGTAAAAGCTAGAAAATGTAAGCAATTAAAAACTTGTATTGCTTGCTAAATTCACTCCCTGACACATCTTATATTTGTCTCATCTACTGTGTGTTCCCTTTCAACCTAATCGCATGGAAAATCCACTGTCTGCAGGGCATTAAACCCACCCATGCATTATGAGCGACTTCTTTTAGCTTCTGAACAATCCTGTTATATACCTACTTCTAGATTTTCCCATAATAGCTGCCTTTCTGCTCACCACACCAAGGACTTATTATCTGTGTGTGTGTGCGCGTGTTGTGGGGGGGATATCCACCCAAACAGGTTAAAATACTGCATCGTAAGACAAACCAACACTTCACTGCTCATCTTGTAAAGGCTGTGTGCTACCTTTACAGTATCTGTCTCAGTGAAGTAATGGATGATTACAGAAGAAATTCTATGCAGAAATCTTGGATATGCACAGTACTTGAGCACACTTTCTTTTAATCTCTGAACCTGTTCAGGAAAATGAATCATACAATCATTAAATGAGTAAGGAATCAGCAGCTATAATTTCAGTCTATGTAAAAGATCTTTAAGGATCATCTGTCACTTTCTCAAGGCCAGCTTTTTTTTTCTTCTCCTCAAACTCATAAACAAAAATACTTAAGTTTCCTCAAATGAGTGAATGTCATCTTACTGTGACTGTTTGCTAACTTAACTCCGCAGCCAAACTGGCACAAGAAAGAACAGAGGAAAATGTGGTCTGTGCCCGCTGCTAGTTACCTTGTAGCTTATAGGCTTGTCAGCAGGCCAAGGACTATCCCAAAATCTCACAAGGGCAAACGTACTGCTTGCACTTGTCAGTCCTCACAGAGCTATTGCACCCACCAGTCTGAAGCCCTTCTCAGAAAAATGCCAGTAGACATGACAGATGTAGAAATGTAATGAAATTAATAGTCAACATATAACTCAATGACAATAATGAACATAATTTAAAATAAGAATATATTTTATTAGCTCTTACAATGGTAATAAAACCTTTAAATAAAGTTGTCCAAAGGTATAATTTATGAAAAATAGTGTTTTAACCTGCAAAACCTGAAAACAATCTGAAAACCAAACAATACTTCCCTCTTTGTCCAGCACTGCTACTGACACTGCCATGGTTTAAGCACATTCACATTCTCTACTGTAATACTGTTTACGTTCGTATACAGAAGCATGTGATTTCTTTAGACCATAGTGTGATCTGAAATACCATCCCTTTATTTAAAAAAAACCCCAAACCTCTTGACTTATCAGGGTTGGAAGTTAAGTGATGGACTGTGCAGTGTTCTCCTCTCCATTCTACTACATATATGAGTATTATTACTATTGAAGCACTAAAAATTAAAGGCACTAAAACTGTGAAAAAACATTTTTTTTACTTTTTTTTTTTTTTAACTATCAAATATTTTCACATAGGAGTATGAAAGCTTAGGACAAAATGTGTCTTGCTTGTCTGAAGAAGGGATCCCCTAAAACTTCTCCATTAATATCTCAAATTTTTCTGTTCTTCAAAATAGGAAAAATCTTTAGGTATGTCAAATCCTTTTACAAACACAGACTAAAAAAAATGTTTACAGAAGTTTTGGCTCATTGGTTAGCAACAGTACTCCTTTTCTCTAAAATGGATTTAAATGGAAATTCTGTTTTAAAATTCCATGCACAAAGTACTGAGTCCAAGTAGTCTACTAAAAAGCATTATCAGTTGTTCTTTTCCATTACGAAAGACATATTTGTATTTATGTAACTTACAACAGCATCTGGCCACCTCATTAGTAAGTCTTAAATTAAGGGAACAGAGAGTAACAGTGAGCTATTTTGTATTTATGAATCATTAGAAATAGCACAGAAGACACAAACTGCAAACTAGACTACAAATAGTCACTACAATCAAGAACACTCATGCACAGCAAAGCTGACCCAAATTGGGGGCGGGGGAAGAAGCATGCACTCCATGCTCTCGGTTTCTCTGACATATGGCAGTAACGTATCAGTTCTTCTCTATCACAGCTGCCTTCCAGTCTCCAGCTATTGCTTTTAACTGAAATCCTGAAGATGGCCTTTCCCTCTCCTAATCGAATGATTTCCTAATGAAGCTTTTGGCTTCTTTCTTTCAAATTCTAGTCCTTCAGAAATACTCCTTTTTCTCTTGATCTTACATCTCCTCTGTTTATGACTATTTTCAGCTGCTTCATTCAGGTCCTGCCTGACTGCTTAGACATTTAAAACTGTCATGCACTTCCACTGAATCATTGATGTACCTCTCAGTATGTTTTTTCCCCTTCCTCTGTTTCTCTTAAGAACTACGTTAGTACATGAGATCAGGTAGATAATAAAAAGGTTAATAACAAAATAAAAAGTTACTTTTGTAACTTAATATGTATTCTATGTACCATATTGATTCCCTATATACAAATGGGAATAGAGGCTGATTGAGTCGGATTTAGGAAAAAAGAGTCAGAACAATCTCCTGATTCAAACAAAACTTGAAACCACTTTCCATGGGGAACTCCCTTACTGGAAAATTAACACTAGTCTTAATGTGTCACTCATCAAGTACTCCAGATTCAGTCCCAGCAGAACTGGGAATGACGGAACTGTATATTCTGCAGGCCTCTCAAAGAGCAACTGTACCGAAATCACTTTAGTCAAATCCAGTAAATCAGGATAAGTAACGCTCTTTTTTCATCTTACTCTTAACATCAGAAATATAGCTAAGGTCACTAGCCACAGCCACTGACACACAGCAAGAGACACAACATTTCTCATCAATATCGAAAGCATCTCCCAGTCACGATTTAAAGTTAGAATTTGTCCAGCCAATCTGCTAATAAATTCAGGTTACAACATATTCTATATAACGTCTCCACAAGGTAATCTTTTGCAGGCAAATGAGGGATGGTTAACACCATCATGTTTTCTTAGTCTGTGATTAAATCAGCTGTCAGCACCCTAGACATTTGATAAGAAGGTGTCTGGAGAGAAGGGCTGATTCTGCACAGATGTTCTGCAACACTGGAAGGTACTGAAGCTTGTAGTGACAGGCAACTGCTGCTGAAAAGGGTGAGTAGCAGGGAGGAATGCAGTCCTGAAATCAAAGAGCAACTATTGACATTGCATCCTGAAGCCAGTGAAAGGTAGTGATGTTTTCAGAATATGTAAGGGACCAAAACAAGGGTGAGGTCCTGGAACACCTTCGGTTCCTCAAGGGCTGATCAGAACAGTGACTTCTCTACAGAGCAGTGATTCACTGATGCTAAAGAAGCCCACAGCCAAAACCAAAGAAGCGGATATGTGTTTGCATTACTTTACCCTAGCTTCTTTTGAATATGTCATTACAGAAAAAAGTTGAACAGGGGCCAGATTGAACGTTTCACCTAGAAGAAGGTGGGATTCTCAGCACAATGGACTTCAGCTAATTCGGTACCAAGAATTTTCATCTGTATTCAAGACGGTGCTAAATGGTCACACTGAACTTCCACATGCAAGAACGCCTACACAGGGGGGTTTGTTAGTTTAAGATCAAGTACTAATCAGAAATGTATTCCTGTCTAAGATAACAGACACCCCTTATTTACGGATTAGAGGGTGAAAGCTCACTGTCAGCCAAATACATAATTCAGAACTTAGCAATTCACAATACACTATCTTGCAAAGTATTAAGGTGGCTAGGTAAAAGCATTACATTGCAGTCTGAAGGAAAGGGGGACAGCATTCCGAGGAAAGCCAAAAAGAGACTTTTGGAGCCTCCAAAGTAGTCAAAAGCAATGCACAATTAGCACTGAACAGTGGAACCAAAAGGTTACTCAACGATACTGAAGGGAAGGAAAGTGTGTACAGAGGTGGCACCATAGGAAGATGGGTCTGCAGAACAGTCATTAAAGAAGACAGCTCGGACAGTTCTCATGGTCTAACAGATAATGAAGGTTATAAGGGAGCCCACTGCCAAAACAGCCATAGTTAGAACAAACAGGGAGACACAGAATCCAGATGTAAAGCTCTTTTCTTATGAGGGAGATTTGATGCAGGAAGAGGGGCAGTAGTGAAGATGATTGTGTGATGAATTGTCTAGGTTTTTTGAGTATATTGGCATGAACTAAAGGGTACCATGCAGTAAGCGAAACAGCATAGCCACTGCCATTCTGCCTGAAAGCACCTTGGACAAGACCATGAACACAGAGCAGGGTGGAGACCCACACAGTAACCAGATGTATTTTGAAGTACAAAGTCCAATGCAAAGTTGGGATACCATCCCAGATGGATCCTTGGAGCTTTTTTGCCTCCCTTTTCGAAGTCTAGGCTTAAAATCCTGATAAACAGTCCACTTCCCTAATACATAGTTCTTCACTCATATAAAACAAATGCAGGAAATGCCCATCTATCTGGGTGTATGGCCTCAGCAGCATGGATACAATTTGCAACAAGTAGACTTAGATTACACCATACATAAAAAAAAATAAAAATGCATGCTATGGAAGACTTAAAATGAAGTTTGGTTTGGTTTGTTGCTGGGGTTTTTTAAAAAAAACACAGTATTTTGGATGAAAGAGGAACCAGAAATAACAAAATCACCATGCAGTAAAAGAAAAACAGCTTTTCTAAAGGGTGAACTATGAAGGAGGTCAAAGAAAAAAAAAATTATTTAGCGAGACAATTGAGAGAAACAGGGTGGCACATCATGAATGCCGAAAAGGGCGACATATAACCGATAAGGCTTCTTCAAAGTTTGGGCACATGCACACTCTGCAGTGTAAATATGCGCACAGACATCTGACATAAAACTTCTACTGTTCTTTCAGAGGTTAGAGTCATTTAAGAATCACAGTATGTTTAGCTCCTTATATACTACTGAATATTAGATTGCATTTGTTTTGACGTACACTCAACAATATCCCTCCCATGAACTAGAATTGGTCAGCAGTGTTTGACTGTGTATCAAGTATGGCCTCAGAGGACTGGAAAACATTTCTATCCGTGGAATGTTTCTAGCAGACAAGTGGAAGTGAAGAAACAAAAAGAATAAGCATAATGGGTCCCAACCCATCCTTAGGATTTCCTGCCCCATATTAGTTGTAAATTAAATACCAGCTTTCTAGCTAATGAGGCAAAAGAAAGTAATGTTGTATTTAACTTCAATCTAGCTTTATTTTCCAACTCTCTTAATAAACTGATCCAAAATTAAATATTATATACGTTTATATCTATTTTTTATGTACTATAATATCTCTTCAATTTCAAACTCCTTCTGTTAAAGGATACTGAATGTTTTCCTTTTAGTTCAAGCACTCTAAACAGGATATAATTTTCCCATGCCACAAAAAGAAGAAAAGCTCATGAGGAAACTGACTTTTAAAATATGTTTCTCTTAGTAATTACAAGGTATGAATTTAATAGGGAAGCATTTTGCATGACATTTTTGTCAAAAAAAAAAAAAAGACGAGGTTAAGCTCTTTACAGGATGAAACACTGTTTGCATTCTATAGTCGTGCTCACACATTACCTTTCCTGTAGTTTCTCATCAGAGATCTGTAATTCTTCTTTTAAGTTTTGGTATCTATCTTCCCTTAACAATCTGGTGCCATCATAGAGAGTCAGTTCTCTGTCATGTATTAGTCTGTTTGAAAATAAAGAATAAGCTTTATCTAGCCTTTGATTACTTTTTAAAATACTTATATCAACTCATGCTTTTTTGAAAAGCTGCCTCAGCCAACATGGGTCATAGTAGAAAGAAAAAGCTATACCAATTTAAGATGCATCCAGTTGTGAAGGTAAAATAATATGCCTAAGTAAACAGTTTCAGTGCATAGTCAGTTAGTCAACTTAGTTTTAATAGATATGGTAAGAAAATGAAAAACAAAAAATTCTGTCTTACCAGTAGTGTGCATAAATGGCATGAAACAGCCATTCTGTTATACTTGTACCAAGTAATATATTTGTTTTGTTTCTTGAAGCAATATATTTCAGTTGGCTTTAATGATTAACATACATACAGACCCAGGTTTTATTTTTTTTATGCAAAAGTTGATTAGATATAATGCATGCACATGTCAGAAGAAAAACCAGAAGGCAAAGCTAAACTGATTAAAAAGGGAAAAAACAGGCAAGCATAATTCTCTCTTCTACCCTTCTGCAAATATATATAATAAAAGAAGGCACAAAATGTTTTTACAACCTGCTTTTAAAGTTGGTGATGCCCTTTAAGTTTGCAAAAGACAGCATATGATGCAGGCACGTGAAATAGCAGAAAAGTTTGACCTGACAGTATAGATTATTATTAACATAGTATTTACTATTACTACTTCTGTTCTGCAAAGTTTAATTTATTTTTTATTGAATTATGAAATAATGTTTAGAAAGAGTTCTTTGCAAGCAATATAAAATATACTTTTACATATAACTGTAATGATCACATTTTATTTAGAAGCAGAATGCATTCAAAGTATTTTAAACATTTTCTGACATCTTGCCTTTTCAAATCACTGCACAAATATTACCAATTTTTAGATTTCATAAGGTCAGAGTAAAATCTAGCTCATTCTCCAATTCAGACTTGCATTCTGTATTTGCAAAGAGCTGAAATTTCCTGTTATTACAGACTTACAAAGAACATGAAAGAATTGCTTCTGCTTTTAAGTATGTAAAGAGTGAACATTACATACTCCATGAAACTTCAATGCTCAGCTTGATCTTTACTGTATTCTTGAAGTTATAGAGTCATATTCACCAGAAGGGACTTAATTCCTCAGTATGCAGGCGCTCAACAAACAGATCGCGCGCACCCAACTTATCTGTGCTCACATCCTGACCTTTGAAGTACAGCTAGAGTGCCAGGGTTAATTCGATGAATGCCATCAAGAATAACAAGCTTTCCTTCCAGAGCAGCAGTAACAAGTGGCGATGGTCTCCAAGCAGTGTCTCCATTAGGAAGAGTATACCTTTGCTGTAGCAAATCTCTAGCTGTCATATCCTGCAAATACCAATTAATCAGAAAAATATATTTATGCTCTATTTTCTTCATCTAGAGGTACATGCTTTCTCCTTAAAAACCTGCATTCTGTTTTTCCTGAGAATATACCCAAAGAAGATTAGCAGAAAATCTTCAATTACTTTTCCAAAGACTATTAGAAATATACACACAAATCTACACGCACATTATGTTAAACAGTCTTTGGAAGTTCTAGGCTTGCCAATAGCACCTCTTTGAAACCAGAACAAAAGCCTTTTTTCCACCCCCACTTACTCGTAAGGCAAGCATATCACAACTTGTACACAGCTTTGTGTACAGAAGGGGGCAGCAATTTACACCTGGAACAAACGAGTCACTTACTTCATATAGAAGTCACCTGAAAGAGCAAAGATTTCGTCATCAACCTTGAACACAAACTAGCATGACATTTCACCTCTCAGAAGGAAAATGCAGCGAAAGCATCAGAGAATAAAGGACCGAGTAAGAAAGAAGCCAGTAACACACAAAATATCAAAAGCACATAGCATATCACAAAATAATGCTTAAGGGATAAACCAAAACCAAAGGCAAAATCTAGCATAGACTCCAGCACAGATATTTTAGATGTTTCATTATAACAGGTAAGCACTAGAGCAACAAAGATGTAATAGTCATTTTGTGAAGATGAAATTCCTTCCTCAGGCTGTGCTGTGAGCACAACTTAACGTAAAATCAGATGAGAAAAATATTTTCTATTGTAGCTGTAGCTTTTGCATATGTTCTTTTCACAACTATAAACCCTTTGAACTTTCAAGAATAAAAATAGAACACATTACGTCATATGGCCTGAATCATTTCCTCTTTCTACATTTCCTTAAAAGCCTTAAAATAACAGGACAAAGCCTGGTTCCTTCAGTGCTTCCACATTCGTGTAATATAAAGTTCCACATTCAAACCCACAAAACCAGACCGTATTTTTATTGTTGTATTTCTGGGGTTTTTTTACTGCTGTGTTTGCTCTTTTCTATTTTATTAATGAACTGGACTAAAACCAGAACATGAAACATTTTTTGCAAAGCCAGAGAAAAATCTAAGTGTTTTCAGGACTTGCATCAGAAGTATGCATTCAGTAGCTAGTAAAGACTGTATAAGTGAATTATTTAACTAATACACCTGATAATTCACCTTTAGAGGAATGAAACAACATACAGTATGAACCTATTTGGAGTCTAGTATGTTATATAGAATGTCCATCTGTAATTCCAACAATGACTTGAGAACCATGCATTAATTTCCTGGAGATAAACTCAGAAGTGTATTTTGCTGCAAAATATTTTCTGAAATATAAAATGAATGTTTATACTGTAATTTAAATGGTTGAATGAGATTCAATTTAGTGATGCATTAAAAAGAAGTATCATTTGCTAACAGCTGCACAGTTTCTGTAAGGAATTTGTTTTATGGCTAAGTACCTGCCCAGTGACTTATTGTTTCTATTTATTTATTCTAAACCAATTTTTAAAATAGGATTATGAGATACAGTATTATAATACTCTAACACTAAAAATCCCTCCCTTTGAAGGGAAAGTAATAGAAATATATGAATTATTTTTTTCCCCTCATTTTGGGCTAAGCAATGGCAATATTATATTACCTTATGAAACAAAATGCTTACTTTAATTTGTAACAGTCATTGTAACTTACGTGTTTTACATTGGCTTTATTTTCTAAAATACCTTGCATACAGGAAAGAAGTAGTTTAGGAGAGAAAACAAGTAGGATAACTTCTGTTCCACTTCCTTTCGTAGCTACAGCAATACAAGCCTCCAACCTAGCCATTTTTCATGGCTCACAGTGCTAATCACGTTCTTGGCAATTATGAGGTGAAAAATCTATGTTTCCTGCTTTGCATGCCAGTTTGGACTCACATTTTGTTTAGTATTTCTCAAATAAAAATTGGAAGGAATTTGTAAAGAAAAATGATGAGGTGAGGTCATGCAGAAAAAAAAAGAAATCCTAGAAACAAAAACATGACAATACACAAACACTAGTGCTGTGCTTAAAAGACTGTTTTTGCTGGGGAAGAAAAGGAACAAGTTGCTGGGAAACTGTTGTAACATCACTTTGAATATTGCTTTTTTCCTCCCCCTGAAACTCTGAGGGGAGAAAATGTTTTATTTTAAACAATTTAAACCGAAATTTCCCTAACTACAGTCCACAAAGAACTAGCTGGCTGCTGCTTCTCATTTGCTGTTGCTTAACTGCATTAAGAGACAACTTAAAAACAAACCTTTCCTAATCAGGATGAGTTTCCTTTGTCAGCAAAGGAATTCATTCCTACATGGAATTGCATATAATGAGACATCCATAGAATGATGTCAGATATTACAAATGAGACGGGAATTGTTCTCTGAGCCAGCTGTTAGTAGAAGAGATGGTCTATATGCTCAAAAGGTTAGGGAACCCTTGGTTTAGGTAAATTTGATTCTCATCGCACAACACAAAAGCTTTTAGAGGTTTTTTCTGTGAAATCAATATAAACAGCTATGCCTTTTCACACTATTCAAGCCCTTAAATCAGCTTCAGATGGAAAGAATGATGAAGCAAATATTAAAACTAAAAGTTAAAATTATACATATAAAAATCTGAGAATTCATTTCTTCACAGAGCCTGAAGAAAAACAGTGCTATTGCTTCAGACCAAGGATAAGTACCCCACTACTTATTTTCGTGCCTGCAGAAATTATTGGGAAATAAAAATGAACCACAGGACAAACGAAAGCCTCCTTAATTTTAGACATGGATTTAGGACAATATCGTGTGTCTCTCAAAAAAGTGAACCAAAGTAGAAAAATCTGCTAAATTCACAGCATTATCAAACTTCTCATAGCCTTCACTGGTCCAGGTCATTACTGCTGAACTACTGTATGAATTAATACATTTAACATTTGTTCTGTCATTAAATTATCCTATTACTTTGCTATGCAAACCCCCTGATGTGTTACTATATATTTTAAGAAAAAAAAAAGCATTCTTAAAACTTATCAGAAGATGTATAGCTCAGCTACATTCAATCATTTTCTTACATACTGCTTCCTGTAAAAACTTTTGAGATTATGTAAGACATTGCACATAGGAAGTATCTAGACGTATAGACACACGTGGATCTTTTGTAGACTTGTCTACACAGGAATTTATAGTGAACGAGCTCACAGTTATTTATTTGCCTTAGCGATACTGTTTGATATCACCAAAACGCCTCTCTGTAAAAACCCTCTGCCCTTTGAACTTGACCAAACCCTGGTGAAACCAAAGGAAAGGTTCATTTTAGTGGGAAATACTTCAAACCCTTCATCTAAATTTATTTCTGTAGGAATTACAGATCCCTCTGAAAGAAAGATGCTTACTGAATTAACTAATTTAATTGTCAGCTCTTCTCATGTGTCTCCAAAAAGCAAATCGCCTGCTCCTATTCAGCGAAGCCGTACTAATCAAAGGTAGGATGTTGAAAAACAGTGGCTATTTTTTTAACCAAGTAATTGTCTAATTTTGCTGGTGAGTACCCAATATTGTATTGCATGCAACAAAACAAGTGTTAGGGTGTGCCTGTCCTTAAGCAGGTTTGTCAAGTTGCAAAAGTTACTTTCCTGGGATAATTTAAAGATAGGTTTACAGTGACAAGAGCAGAGAGAAGTATGCAGGCTAGCCGGACACACTCAGTTCTGGCTCAGAAACTACACACCTATCTTAATGTACCACTATACGGAAGGTAATAGGTGCTGCTGGGAATCCAGGTATATTACTATGAACATAACATCGCATTGATGAGGATACGTAGCTTCAGACGCCAAATCTGCTTGCACCTGGCTGCATTAAAGTGTAAGAAAAGGGCAGAAGTCATCTGTCTGACTCCATCTATGCAGGCACAGTTTCAGAGTCTGCGCCTTTATCAGCTGAAGCCATATAGGGGGAAGGAAAAGCAGCGGGATCCTGTCTGGGGAGGTTCTCAATGGTGCAGGAAAACATAAAATGGACTGTCTTTCTTTTTTCATCATCAGCAGTATTTCTCTTTGCTATTTTCTCTCACTTGTTGTCTGTTTCAATCCTTAAACCCCACCATCCATTTCTGTCAGTGTCCCTCTCTCTCCCCACATGCCATTGCACTTCCAAATCAGCTGCCACTGCCATTTCTCCCTTTAGAGGTCTCCGTGCTGCCTGGGAAAAATTTAAAGCAGCAAAGGGATGGAAGAAAGAGACCAATATATTGCATTAAATCTGCTGGCAATGTTCCCCTGTAGCATTGCCAGTTATCACTTACAACTGTAAATCCTGTGATATTTGGTGTATTTTTTCTCACAAGGTCATGGGAGCCTCTTGACTTCATTCCTCAAGGTTATGGAGAAAACCTTATACGTGTGATCTCTACTGTGAAAAGCTAGCAAATTAATTAATTAATTCTACTTTTTAATCCTGTAATTTTTCAGTTTATGTCATGAGGTTAGCGTGTATCAAGATCTAAGACTGACAATTCTTTCCAAACACGTACTGAGTGACCACGGGCTATGGGAGAGCACTATTAAGCATGACAGAGCTTGGGGTTTGCAAAAAAACTCTAGTGCTGTGAGAAAGCCTGAAGCACTGTCCAGGTGAAATCAAAGGGGAAACCCCTACATGTACAGCAGCCCCACTGTGCCATGTTTACCACACTGTGAGAAAACTGACAGCTCCATAACCTTCATTCCCTTATTATTCTGCACGTTCAACCCTCCTGGAACCATTACTACTACTTCTATGTTAATCTTTTTAAATACAAACTGTACATTTTACTTAGTAAAAACATTCACTCTGCCCTTACTTTTTCAATTACTGTAAATGTCTTCCAACTCATGAAAAATGCAGCTAGAACAAGCAGCTCCTTACCACCAACTCATGAAAAATGCAGCTAGAACAAGCAGCTCCTTACCACCACCTTCAAAGCCCATGGACACCCTTACGACTGCTCCAGTTCTTCCTTCTTGTCATTTTACCCCATGGCTGCCATTTTGAGGCAACTACGTCAACTGCCTGTGCATGTCTCAAACAGTCTTAATACATACTTCGCCCAAAATATGTCTTTAAAGGCACAGCTGTACTAAGACATAACATAAATAAATTGGCAACAATTAGGCTAAGGGCAGAAGAAGATTACTGTCTGTTCCTTATAGCCGTATGAATCATGAAGTTAATATTCATTGAATGTAATACGTGTATATTACATTTAAACACCAGCCCTCATTTTATATTTCTAGGATGCAACATTTTTTAACATGGAACCTTATCTGCTAATCTCTACTGCAACACAGTCCCACCACAACTGTAATTGTCAGACTAAACAGAAATGTAGAAAAAGAAAAGGCACAGAATTTATAATATTAAAATGACACTTGTTAGGCATCAGAAAAAATAAACATGTAAGAGGATATTAGGCAATCTTGACAGAAGAAACACATCAAAAAAAACCCAGAAGAAAGATTAAGCCTACAGAACATGAGAAACAACTTTAGAACAAATTCCCCAAAAAGATAAAACCCATTATGTATTCTCAATACAATAAAGAAACTGTCTTCCATAATAATAAAAAAATAGTATCGATAATGGAGAATTCCATTTTAAGATTAAACAGTGTATGGACCAAAAAAAAAAACCCTCCAAAAACCACAAAAGGTTTCCCAGAGGTATTCAACATGCATGAATTACAAGTGGTCACCACTCTGACCTAAAGGCAGGAAACGTACTTCAAAAGGGGAAAAAACCATCCAAAACCAAGACAACACAAAGACAAAGTTTTCTTTATGACACTCAGTCATGCCAAATCACAGAATGAGTTGTCAACTCTCTACAGCTAGGAGAAAGACCACTGTGTTAAACTATTCTCCTTACATTTTATTTAGATTACCTCTCTTTCACATTCACAATGAAGTCAATAAAATTGAAGGAAAGCAGTATCAGGGCTAGTTTATATGTAAAAACGTTGTACTATCTATATTGCTGCCCAGTACCCCCTCTGTTTAGGCTGGCAGTAAGAAGAGATCTTAGATGAGCATTCTAACAGAGAGAGTAAAAAATGCTCTATAATGATCAGAAAACTTTGCTATCTTTGAAATCTTTGCTATCCTTTATTTTTTTAACCCATATCAGTGATTATCAGTGATTTTAAAAGCTGCAGCTGTATATGAATATGGCTCATATTTAAAGCATGATCATCAGCAGATAGTTTACTTACCTGGTACAGCATGATAGGTTCTATGCTGTATCCCAGTATATCAGCAAACTCCTTAGCAAGAACTGTTTTGCCACAGCCCTAAAAGGTTAAAAAATAAGAACTAGATTATATTCTAAGGAACATGGGGAAGGAGGCAGAAAAGAAATTTAAATTCTTACTTTTCCTCCAATTAGACACATATCTTTAACCATATGGGACTGCACCATTTCTGCCAACAGTTGATTATGGCTGGAAGTCCTTATGAAGGTATCTGACTGAGGATGCTTTTTTAACAGCCCAGTCCCAGCTGGAACCTGTAAGGAGAAAAAAAAAAATCAAAATGCTAAATAAGCTATACTGTGATAACTCTAGGCTTTGCACGGACTGGGTTACGCTTCTTAAAATTACTGTAATATTTTGCTGATGATTGTCATCCATCAAACTTAAATCTTTCACTTAAAAACATTCAATCATATAATTTCTAATAGACAACCTCCTTCACACCTCCTTCGCCCAATCTTCATGAAAACAAAAAATAACAAAATGTGAACCAATTAAATTACAGCACTGGGGTCTGCAAAGAACGTGAGGCTCTTTGTGCTAGAGACAAAATATAAAAACCACCAATATTTATTGCTCCTCAGAGGAACACGTAAGAGAAAGAGCAATCTGTATTGTGAAAATCTGAAGGAGCTACTCTGACCAGAACTTTGGAGAGTTTCAATCATTCCCCATGTTAAGGCACTTGCTCTATTTCCACTTCCCATTTTAGTCTGGGAACCGTTTCATCAGCAAACTCCTTATGCCCTCCTGTTCCCAAAGAGACATTCTGCAGACCTGTTTTCAGAAGGTATCACCTACATTTCAAACAAAAGCAAAAATCTTCCCCTCAGAAAAGAGCTCAATCAGGTCCCTACAGACTCACCTTTTTCTGACAAATTCCCATTTCCTGCTGTTCCCCTTTTCACTTTGTCATGGTACAAACTCTCTGAGGATATTCCTCACCAATGTTAATATGATCTCTCTCTGACTCCCACTAATTCACCTTCTTTACAGACTCTCTAGACTCTCCAAATTCAACATCAACTTCAAATTCTCAGATCAGCATCTGTTTCCTGAATAAGACCTTATTTCACCACCTAGCAGGTCATAAACTTCATTGGAAGAAACTCAAACTAATCATATTTGATGTGATTACTTTTGTTCCATTTTCCCAACATCCTGTCGGAACATTACCAAGCATTCATTAGATTTTATTTGAAGTGTAGACAGACTATTGTTTTTGTTAAAAGAAAAAGAGAAAGCAGCACCAAGAGCATTTGAAGTACTCTCTGTTACTCTAATCCAATAAAAAAATATGAAATTTAGAGGCTTTTCTTTCATCTATTCTTTAGCATTTCTTTTAACACAAGAAAATTAAATTAATCTCATGTAGGAAAGTATGAGTCTATCTAGAAATAAAATCTTGTGTATCCATAATCTAATATTCCAGTATCTAAATGCTAAATAAATATCTATAATAAATATCATGTGTTTATCAAAAAATATTCATTGCAAATGAGTTTTAGTATCGAACTGTAAGTGTCATATTCTCGATGAGATGAAAACAAGTTAATGATATCTAAAAATATATACATTTCAATGAATATATAAATTCATACCTGGAACGTCACTTCTTTTTCACCAATCTGGACAGTTACATCAGCCTTGAAGGGTTTGTTTCCTTGTACACTTTCTACTTTTGTAATCCTTCTGGGAAGCAAATGGCTTTTTGAATCTTGAAGCTCAAAACGCTGTGGAATTAGGGAGTGGGAGAAATTAGTTATTAAATACAGCTTTCTGGTTTTTAAAACCGTTCCTTCTGAAAACAAGGCCAGAAGTATATTCAAGAATAATTGCTTGTGAAGTCCTAAATCCATTTACTTTACTTCAACTTTTACTTCACATACCTGCGTTCACATTCTTGATGGCCTATATATTTTACATTTAAAACGAAAGCAAAAAGATTGTATACCATCTACTTACTCTGACTGTAGTGACAGATGTAAAGTGAAAATGTCATATGGTGATTTTGCCAGGTCTTAGCCTGACAGACCAAAATAATAAGAGAAACGGATGATAGCCCTTAGCATGTGTAATAATAGATCACCTACCTCCACAGCTCATTATAACCAATTGCAGATTTAAACATCTGGCTACCAATAAAAATAACCATCAAACATTATGTTTACTTAGCTCCACAGCCTTATCATACAATGAAAATTGAGGACAACCTGTACAAATTAAGCCTTCAGCATGTTCTGGGTATATCAAGGACAAAAACCCATGCATCTGTCTTCCCAATCCTCTTTTGAGCATTATACTCTATTTTATGCTGTATATAGAAAGCATGAAAAACATCTAAAAAATCCTGTAAAAAGTCTATTTTGTTGGGGAAGGGGAAGTCATACAGGGGGTTTATGCACCAAAAAGCCACTAACTGAAATTACTGAACTCATAGAGCCATTTTATTCAACAGAATGAAAGCTGAGTAAACAAGAGAAAAAGGAGTATTATCCAAGTCCTTAGAGTTCTTAGAAAAAAAGGGGGTTTTAAACAGAAGTCACTAATGTAAAATAATTCTTTAAATGCATGTAGTTTTATTACTAGTAGGATTCACAGCACCGCCTATTAAAGTTTAGAAAGAAAACTGAGATGCATTCATACAAATGCGTTGGCTCTTCATTACTTTGTAAATTCCCAATCTGGAACAAGAGCCTACAAAAATTTCATGTTTAAACATAAATTTAAGATAAATGTGCTTGACTAAGGGGCTGCACCAAATTATATTCTTATTGTAACAACTGAGTCTACTTCCGACACCATTAAATGT